TAATTCCTATTCTTGTTGCCTCATTCAAGTTTAATCCTCTCCCCGGTTTTTAGAATGTTACTGGGGCAGCAGGCTACTACTCACTAGCATTATCTGATGGTTTTTGTTGTCCTGGTTAACAGTCAGGATCAGTTTGATCCCTCCTGGTACATGCTTTTAGCTTTCTCTATATTTTTGTTGCTTTTAATTTTAATAAATTATGACTTTGATGACTGTCATAAAATAAAATTATTACCGAATGAAATAAAATTTTATTTTTTCCCCCAGATGATGGGCATTATGCAATTATCACCATCTTGAACTTATTTACTAGGTATCGGAATTGTTGGTTATGGATAGAGCACAATTGTGTGATATATGTAGCTGACCTCACTTAATTTGATTTCGTTGTGTTAATTTACTGGGAATTTGTCAAGGGGCTGTGGAGGCCAGTTTTTTCACCCAAAAAAAAAGGATACCATCACACCTCTATTAGATGAGAGATATTTCTAAACATGGATACGTGCTTTGTTTTTGAAATAAGTTACAATTTCAGTTTAATGAAAATTTGGTCTCATGTAAAATTGGACAATGTGTTTAAAGTTTTGTTTACGCATTGTTTGTTGTCATTTATGTTTCTGTCTTGCATTTGATTTCTCTTAATCCTTAGTGATATTTATGATTGTGTTATTGGTCAGGCTCTTAATTCTTCCGAGAAATTGAAGCCCAAAACATCAGCTAGAAATGCTGAAATGAATGTACCTGCCAAGAGTGGGCCACAGCATCTCTCATTACACATCGCTAATCAATCTCTTCGTAGTGTAAATGTTAAATCTGATACTCCAAAGACTTCTGGAAAGTTTACTGATCTCAAATCGGTGGTGTGGGAAAATGGTGTTTCCCCTACCTCCAAGGATGTTTCAAACCAAACAAATTATTCTAACAGCAAGCCCGGAAATCAACTTACTGTTACTTCAGCAGGTTCTTCTGGACTGTCAAGGAACCCCAGCAATGTAAAATCTCCAACAGAGCGGAAGCCAGCTTCAATGGACCTAAAATTAGGTTCTACTATGGAAAAGAAACCTTCGTTGTCTCAAGCGCAGAGCAGGAATGATTTCTTCAATCTTATCAAGAAGAAAACACTGGTGAACTCTTCATCAGTTCTTCCTGATTCTGACACCTTGGTTACTTCTACCATCATGGAAAAACCTGATGCAATAACTAGGGAAGTAGTTAGTCCTCCTGCTAACCCTGAAGCTCTTGGAAATGGTGCTGATGTCAGCAATGGTGATGTCTGTGAAGATGAACGCCTTCCCAATAGTAAAAAGAATGATACAGTTTCCAGTTTGACAATATATCCTGATGAGGAAGAAGCTGCTTTTCTTCGTTCTCTTGGTTGGGAAGAGAATTCTGGTGAGGATGAAGGCCTCACAGAAGAGGAGATCAATGCCTTCTATCAGGAGGTGAACATCTCATGCCCTACTTTAATCTAATCACCTTATAAAGTTCATCATAAATAGGAATAGCTGAGCTTTTAATATGCTTTTAGACAATGACATTATTTATGGAGCAAGGATTTAGCTTGTTGAGTCTCATAGCTAAGTTACTTGGCCAACCAAATTGTAGGATTAGCTTTATGATTGAACCAAATTACATATTTAGGGCATTTACAATGATTGATTTGATCAATGTTTTGGTTGTCAATTTACATTGTAGAATTTTTTAATGATGATCAATTTGGATTGGTTTGCTCATTCTTTGTTGACTCGTATTTGCCAGTGCATGAAATTGGGTCCTGCCACATTCAAGCTGAGAGGCATTCAGCCAAATCTCTCCAAGTTGTTGGATTCTTATGCAACCAACTTGCATGGAGCTTCTGCTGAATTGAGCACTTCTGACTCCGGATCCCAAGCTTGATATAATGTTTGATTTGGGATATATTGAAGTTTCCATTTTTGGTGGCGGGTGGAAAGTTCTGTTCTTTTTGTTTTGAAAGAAGGCTGATGATTGGGCAAAGAGGAGGATGGGTTTCTACTAGAGCCCTGCATTTTGCAAATATTACAATAAGTTACAGGTGCCTTTATCCTGCTTGCTTAACGGGATATTTTTAGCTTCCTTTTTTGGTTTAAAGTTATAGGTTTGGTTGGCTAGGGTGTAGGATAGGGCTATTTTGTTTGCAAGGTGCGGGGAAATTGCATCTTTTAGGGTATTTTGGTCCTTTTCCTTCAAGAGGGTTTGATTCTATGAGATAAAGTTCGAGTTTTTGGCTAGTTTTACGGGGGAAATTTGAAATTGAAGCTACTTTTAAAGTTTATATCATGTTGATATTGGTCATGTTGATTTTTTGGGGGGCTTAATCCCTCTTCATTTTGTGTGGTTCTCAACTCACCGTATTGTCGTACAGTCATTCAAAAGTCACAAAATAAATTAGAGATGGATTAGAATTAGACTCATCAAATTTTTTTTTTGGGGTGTCAAATTATCATCTCCTCTTTCTCGTGTTTAGGAAGCAAGTGTAAGTTTTTTGGCATCGTTGAACATGCCTTTATTATTGTAACTGGGAAGATGAAGCTACACTAAAAAAAAAAAAAAAATTGCGATCGTATGACATGTAGCACTTGGCCTCGGCGTTATATTTGTTTCTTTTCATTGTTCTAGTTTGAATAAAGGCCACCTTTGATAAGTATGAATCTAAATTCATGGAAGGGAGATGAATTTCAATTTTGCTCGAGTTTGGTGGATGGAGGATGGTTCTTTGAAGGAATGTGTTCTCTCAACACGTTATAAGGAAAATTTGAGGCTTTTTGTGAGCTGTATTATGATCAAACTACTTGACACCTAATTGACTTTTTTTTTTTCTATCTGCACCACAGTGACATTTTATTTGGTCACAGTAAGTAAACTCTAGACAACTTGGCTAAAAAATTCAGCTGATAAAAATTTGACTAATAATGTTTGAAGATGCAAGTTTGAATCTTATTGCCAACAAAAAGGACTCCTCTCCTTCCTCCGTCCTTCGCCCTTTCTAGGGTGAGCTCTTTTTCTCCTTACAGGAGAGTTTCTGTACTGTTGTTTGGATGGTTCTCTCAGCTGTGGCTAGGGTTTGGTGATGGCGGCAAAGGTCTTTAGTGGGTCCTCTCTAATTGTCAGAGTAAGAGCGGATAGATCTTCAATAAAGGAAAAATAGGGGATCAATGGTGGTTTTGGCCAAAAGAGAATCGAAATGTTGCGGCAATGATGAAGCAAGGAGCTAGGAAGCGAGATCCTATTCTGCAAGAAGGTCCTATGATTTTTTTTTTTTGAAGGCTTGGTGGCTTGTGGCTAGGGATGGGGGCTTTTTGGATCAACTTTTCTTCTTTTGGTCGCCCCCTTTTGCTTTGTTTAGACTTTTGTTGTTTGTTTTATTTCTGTCTTGTGTTCTCTGTGTCTTTTTGTTTTTATTTCTGCCTTTCCGTGTGGACTATTTTTGTCTATGGTTTTGACGAGCTTGTCTCTACTATGAACATCTTATTCTGGAAGTTATTTATGACTTTCAAGTCTCCATTACCTCAATTTTTGAGGTTTATTTGAGTTGCAATTTGTTGCCAGCATTGGTGTAGAAGGTGGGCTCGATTGAGTATGTCCTCAGGCAACCACCCTCTGTCTGCCATCTTACGATCATATTAGGTAAGAGCTTGGTCTACACTCCTCAAATCTGCAAGGTTTTGGCTTCAACTGTTTGTTTGGTCATTTTTAGGTGATGTGTTGCTTTGGTGTTCTTTGTTCATCTTGTCCTAGTTTGATTTTCTTTTTCTTGGCCTTGGTGGTTGTGTCTTGTTTTTATCTTTCGAAATCATACTTCAAGTAAAAAAAAAAAAAAAAATCTTAGTGCTATCAGATAATTTGAGTATATTTTTAAGGGCAAATCACATAAAAAAACCCCTTCATCTTGCTAAGTAATTTAAAGTTGTTTGATTTTTTTGCACAATAAATATTCTTAATTGGTCTTTAGATGTGATTTAAAATACAAAAATTAGTAACTGAGGAACATCACAAGGCACAAGGATGGGTGTTCTTCTGCATGTCTCGTATAATACGAAACAAGAAACCCATTAAGAGTTTAATTTCTGGAATTGTATAAAAAAAAACATCACTTGAAAAAAAAAAAAAACAACCCCTTAAAAGCCAGATTCTTTGATAAGTTAGTGCCTGTTTAGATTTACGTTCAAGATCAATTGATTATACGAAATCTATGTTTTGGCAAACATTACTCAAGTACTTGTACATATTAAAATCAATTATAAATTAAAAATTATGTTTTTAAAAAATATTCAAATGCTTATTATACATACTAAAATTAATTATGAATTTAAAATTATAATTTTTTTAAAAAGATATTCAATATCTCTTATTATGTCAATTAATTACGAATCAAAAAAATATAATTTGTAACATAATTTATATGATTTTTGATAAATTTATAGAAATGTAAAATTGAAAACGTGAAATTAAAAAGTAAGTATTAATAATTTATGAGATAACTTTAATTTTAAATTTATAATTGATTTTTGACATGTATGAGAGTATTTAAATATTTTTTAAAAAATTATAATTTTAAGTTTATAATTAATTTTAATATGTATAATGAGTGTTTGAATATTTTTTAAAAAACATGATTTTAAATTCATAATTAATTTTAACATATAACATAAATATTTAAATATATTTTTACAAAACCATAATTTTACTTTATTTTTAATTTTATTTTTAATTTTTCATTAAAATCAATCATATTAATCCATTATATACCACATACCATGATAAATTATATTTCAAATTAATTATATAAATTAATTTTTTCATAATCAAATTGACCCTTAGTCTCATAACTGCCAACCATCGAGATATCTTGAACAATTAAAAATAAAAACCCCGGATTTATTAATGTTTTTTCCTTAATGTCAGCGAACCGAACAAGGCGTGGTTTATTTCTTGGAAAGTAAATATCAAATCAAATGTCTAATCGTCAATGCCTAGCATCCTTAACCTAATATAAATTAATTCTAAAGCAAACTTTGCTGTCTTCTGATAGAATAAATACCTACAACTTGATTGAAAAGGGGGATAAAATTTAAAACTCGAGCGTGCCACGAGTTCAATTTTTTTTTTTTTTAAAGTAACATCTCGACTATTCAATACCCGACTGAGAGGAACTGGTCGAATCTTTCGTTAACCTTGTATAACAAGCAAGATGAACACACCCCGATGCAGTCAAGAGTCAAGAATAAGCACAATTTGCATTTACTGATCCACGAGAGCCGGTATCCCCCGTCCCTTTAAAGAAGGACAAGGCACGGTGAATATCCTTTTACAATGATGACGCTCTAAATAATAGCTCGGTTCGCCTCATTCGGGATGAGAAGTCCAATAAATTAGCCCACTGCATCCAAAAGTTTGAGTTAACCGGCAATTCAAGCAACAGGTTAACAGCCACGCAATGGTCTGTAAATAGGTAGGGCACTCATTTTTATTAAGGCTATTCAAAATAAAACCAAATCGAATGAACTAAATTAAATCAACTAAAAAGAAAAAATCCAAAAAAATTTTCACACGTCAAAATTGAATAAATCCGTTTGATTTTCAATTTAAAACCAAACCAATGATTTTTTTTTTTAAATTCCGCCAACTTCTACAATATCATCCATGACTATTTGTGTAGTCGCCAGATACAGATAGGTGCTTGTTCAGTAGTGACATGCCTCCTGCTTATTGAGGTTTGACATGAAGGTGTACTAATAATTACTTTTGTTTGTAATTAGCCACAGCGCGAGTGAGTTAGAGAGAGAGCAGTGATGTGCCTACTAGTACTTATCAAATCAGGAAAAAATAAAAAATAAAATGAGCCAAACTGACAATAACCTAAGATCAATTTCTATCTTGCAAAATTCACCTGTTCAGCTTGGTTCTAATCCAAAATCAAGTCAAAGCAAATTGAATCTTTGAATACGCCTGCTCTTCATAGACATTTAGTTATTGACAGACCCACTTTTGATGCAATCCAAAAACCCGTTTCCATATACGATGTAAAATTGAGTTGTAAAGTCTACACGATTTTAATTGAAATCGAGTTGATATTATATCCTCATAAAAAGGTTTTGGTATAACTTGCAACTCCTCTGTCCAGACTTACAACTCGATTGTTTAATATTTACTTCAAAATTTAGAATTGAACTATGTAGCTGATCGAGCAAGAACATTTTTGTTTATCAAGCTTGTTTTCCTTTTTAGTTGACACCTAAAGACCTTGAATCTTGTTTGTCGTTTTACAAATTCAAGAAACTTGTCTGTCATTAATCTCTAAACAAAAGAGTGAACGACTTGATTGTCATTCTTCCAATTTCTTATATCCAACGAGCAAAACAGAACCACTACAAGTAGAACGTAAAAGAACTTGTAGCTTATGTAGAGAGGAAAATTCTGAAGTGAACCAGGGGCAGGTAGACAAGGACACAACAGTCAGGATGATGGGAATATGGAGCAAACCAGAATGATGGGCGTACGTGCACTCTAAGAATTTCTTAGTGGCGGCAAGAAGGAGCAGAATATTATTTAAAACCAATAATGAAATGCTTTAAACATCACTTACCTGATTAAGACAAGCACACACTGCAAAACACCTGCAGCTCCCGTCCACACTGAAGGGGCAGATTTATCAATTGAGTCTTGAATGAGTAGACCGACTGATGCAGCTAAAGAAACAAAAGATATAACATATGCAAAGAAGAGCCACAGCTTCAACCTATTAACAAGAAATAATTAAAACTAATCCTCATAGCAACCAATGAGTAATGTTATTCTTCTTTTGCCATTTTCGGGCTACACAACGAAAAACATAATATGGAAATAAGGCAAGTTCATCATAGAGTGATTAATAACATTGAACAGATGCTGACAAAACACATTCAAATATGCATAAAGTCTATTTAAAAATTGTTATCGGCCCTAGATACTGTTGCACGAAGCAGTTATAATGAGAGAAATAAATCAACTGATTAAATTTGATCAACTCGAAAAATTGGTTGACCACTAGCAGGTCACCTCTTGAAATAATGGAAATGACATATTCTAAGATTCTCACGTGACAAACTCTGGTTGAGAGGGTGGAAAAGGCAACATGCAGCAATATCATAGATATAACTTCACTTTTCCCCTTGCATTTCACATTCACATGCAAATGAAGTAAAAGTTCACAATTACAATGGTCTCAAACATAGTAAAATATCCGCCAACCATTGAGCTTTAGATGATTCCAAGTTTGCATCTCCAACAATAATTTCTGTCTCACAGAAAAACGACAATATGCCACAAGCCCTAAAAACACAATTACACTAATAGGCAGCAATTATCAAACAGGAACCTTTTTCTTTTATGGAATTTGAACTTGAATTCTCCAGCCTGGGAGAAAATTCAATTAGTACTAAGCCAAACTAATTGGCAGCAAACAGAAACTTCACAAGTGAAAGATCCAAAACCTAGAGCTAATTGCAACTGTTCCATAGGTAGCGTAGAATATGGACTTTAAAAAGTACATAAAGACACTTCTTATCTCCGGTCACAATTGATTCTATCAATTTATTCACTAGTTGATAATTTCTTGTTTATCGAACCACCATCTGCCAGAATAACAGAGAAGGGTTAATGGTAAGACATCGTCTCACATAATTCTTTATAACATGTCAAGTATCTGCTTGCAAGGTCTGAGTTAGTATAACATGATGATAACTTCTTATATTGCCAGCTGGCACCAGTGAAGATGCAGTGACAATTAGTGCCTTTGGAGTACTGCATAGAGCATTTAACTTTGCATGAAAGGTAAGCCTATGGCAAATAAAGCATAAAACAACGTATTAATAACCGAGTAAACTTTTTAAAGACTAAAAATGTCGCTCTTGTGAATTATAAGTTTGCAAAGCTATATACACGGAAAATTAGCAAGTTCTACCAAAATTATCAAATTGCACACCTATAAATCAAAAGCGAAAAGTTCTACCAAAGATTAATTACTTATTTAATTTAATCATAGCCTTCCTCTAATTCTCAGCCTATGGGCCAGAAAACTATTGATTCGCCACAAATTAACGGGTGCTTGTCATGTCATTTCCCTCCTCCTGAGCATCTGACTAATCAATTAAATTATTTGATATGAGATGGTTGCACTCTTATGTCTGATCTTGTGTTTTTTTTTTTTTCCCTTTCTTTCTTTCTTTGTTTTTTTTTTTATGCCTCTTTTGCTGCTTTGTTTCAAGGTCTCTTTGCAATCGTTCTTGCCTGCGATGAAAACTTTCATATTATTATTATTATAAAAAAATTAGAAAGTACTTAAAAATACACGCAACCACTGAGCCACACCGCAGCTACTGCCTATACTCAAAACCTTACAATTCATTCTTTCCAACTTTTTTGCCCTTCAAAAATTAAGACAGACACGTCCATGACATGAACAGTGAGTCATAGACATCATCAATAAACCATGCGAAATTATTTACCAATATTTAACTCAAACATATCAAAATCACTAAGTAAGAGCTAAAAACCCAGAAAACCGCCATTTCCAAGAGATTTCTAAAAGGCCTCGGGACGCTCCAAATAGATTGATTGCCAGCGTTTTGCGAATGGCTCGAAGTAAAAAAATTTATCAGAAAAAAAAAGGCCACACAGCGGATATATTAATAAAAAGAGCATTCTAGCCACTTTAGAATGTGCAGAAATTCAGTGTTGATAGAATCAGCTAGGATTAAGAGACTGTCCTCGTTAAATTGAACTAATAGGAGAGTTTGAACTTGGATACAAGATAACAGATAAGTCAGGAAGCGTAGATCAGATGATCACACTGCTAAAACACATACCTCCACTCTCCTTCGTCATAGGGAGAGTAATCAATGTCTTCTTTCCTGACGCAATTGAACATCAGGGCCGCTAAAGACGCAAAAATTCCTTTACATAATACACAATAATCAGCCGCATAATTGAAACCCTAATGGGGAGAAACACTACAATCATAAAAAAGAGATGATAAAGAATGGGAGGGGGCACGAACCAGGAAGGTAGTGCAGGAAAGAAACCTTGACGGAGCTGCAGACCACGGCGTCAACCCAGATCCACCAGCCGGCGCCGAAGACGGCCCCGGCGACGCCAGGCCCAAAGATCGCCCATAACTCCACTACGTCCATGATGAAGATGTTGATCTAGTAACTAAATTTACGTAATTTAATACTCTGCTCAATTCACTTCACCAGTGCTTGTGCATAGCTGAAGCGCTGAAGCTCCGAAGCAGTGCCGTATCTTCCAGCAGCCACAGTTCTACGAATGACGTTGGTTCCTTCCCAACCCGGGTACACTTCAATTCCATTTAATGTCCGGACTCTGGAGAAACTACTTCTGCTAACTAACTATTATTATTACTGTTACTATTATGATTTTTACACATATGCCAGATTTATAACTCGGGCCATGCACGAGAATGTTTTAATTTTAAAAAATATAAATATAAATAAATATTAAAAGTTTATTTTAGTATTGTTAAAATAAAATGCATTGCTTTTTCCTCTATTTTATAAGTCACAAGATATAAACACATATTTTACTTTTAAGTTTTTATTTTCATACATTTAATCATTAATTGATATATTTTCATACATTTAATCATTATTTGATAGTTATTGAATTAAAATATTATTCTTAATATGTTTTTTAAAATTTCTATTTATATTTTAAATTTATTAGTTATACTAAATAATTTATTTAGTATTTTTGAAATAAATTAAATAAATACTCCTTCTTTCTCAAAAAATTAAGGCAGTTTTAATTAAAATTTACTTTTTAATGAAGTAGTTACTTGTTTTTAAATTAATATAATTTTTTATATTTATTTTTATTTAACAGAATGTTTCACTCTAAAATAATATAAAGTAATTTATCTATTAAAGATGCTTTTAAAAAAGATAATAATTACATCTTAAAATATTAAAAATATATTATATTTTTCAGCATACAATTCTTTAAAAAATATTTTATAATTTTTAATTGAAAGAGTAAATTTTCTAAAATAATATTTTAGACATGTATATAAAAAAAAAACTTAACAAAATAAGAGATAGATTAGTCAATATAATTTATGTTTATATTCATTTAAATTTTATAATTTTTTTAAAATATTTTAAAATGATTGTCATACTTAATTGTTTAAAGTTTTTTTTTTGGCAGACAATTGTTTAAAGTTCCTTAAATTATAAAGTGATGTGATAGGTAAATAGATCATAGGAATAAATTAATAATTTAAAATTTTTCAATATAAATTCAAATAATAAATTAAATCTTTTATAATATTTAACATAATATTCCTAATAATGTTAAAAATAAGACTAAAGTGTAAGTTTTAAAAATAAAAAAGTACTACAATGAATCATATTACAATTTATATTATAATATTATTTATAAATTATAACTATAACTGTTGTAAATCAAGCAAATAGTATGATTCATATTATAATATCATTTATTAATTATATGTACGAAGGTATTATATCAATTAATAAAGCATTACAAGTAATGCAGTAATTATTAACAAAAAAATTAGGCGTGTAATATAAGATAAATTTATTAACATTATATAATTAACTCGAGACTCATAATTTTTCTAGTTAGACTTAGAGAATGTAATTAAATAAATATTTTTCATAAATTTTCAAGTCATAATCTACTCTTACATATACATAATAAAATAATAGATTTCATATCTTATGTATTTGAAGAATATGAATAAAAACTTGTTTTACATATTCTCACACAAATTTGTTACCATGTATTAATAATAAATACATGGTAAATTATTTTTATCTAAACCATATTATTATCCCCATATAAATTTTATTGCATATCAAACACCTATTATTTTTATTAAAAATTGATAACCACCTTCAAATTTTATTATGGATTCTACATGATCTTTTAAAATACAAAATTTTATTATTTTTTACACTTTGTCTAAAATTTTAACATTTACAAATGTAGGTTCTGTAACGTCATCTCCGACATTACTAAACATGTAGAATATCAGACACAAAATACCATTGTGATAATCAGGAATAATTAAATTCCTTAAAAATGATTATCATAACACAAGGGTTATGAAAAAATTAAAGAAGTTGGGATCCCAAGAAACTTTTTTTGAAATGCCGCTTGAACTCAAACTATAGTTTAAAATAAATTATACAAGACAACAAAAATATAGGAACCCAAAATAGCCCCAAGAAAAACAATCATAACAATCTAAAAAATTTCATATTTTTGCTTTGTCTGCCACGGCACAGGCCTCACCCATTGCTAGAGAAAAAGTTTCAAGGCAAATGTGTCATTTAACCCTTAATCAAATTTCAATTAACAATCAACATTTGTAATTTTTAATGCTAGGCCAAAAATGCTATCTTTTTAAAAGTTCGAGGCAAAATCTTTCAAAAAAAGTTTAGGATGTCAGGCATTTCTGGAGAAAAAATTTTAAGGCATTTTTGCCCTTTAACCATTTTGTAAAACATATTTTAAGAATAAAAAAATAAAAAAACATACATTTTTCATGTTATTTCTTGTGCTCCAAAACAATAAGATCAAAATACCAAAAGGATATTTATATTTTTTATTCTCTATAACAGTATTTAATTTTTTTAATTTTTTAAAAGCATGTTATCAAACAGATTTTTATTTTTATTTTTATTTTTATTTTTATTTTTATTTTTATTTTTCTCTGAAAAAAAATTGCTCCCAAAATAGGTTGTTAAACAAGTCCCAAATTTTTTTTCTTGTGTTGTAATCTACATTTGCATGTATCAACAAAATGCAAGTTTTCGATGTCATTTAATGTACATTGGCTAAAAAAATGTGATTTAATATTTGTTTAAATCAGGAAAAATATTATTTTTAGTCCTTACATTTTACTTGAGTTTTCATACAAATTCTTACACTTTATTTTTTGTGTTCTAGGTCTTGCACTTTTCTCTATTTGCAAAATTGGTCCTTGTATTTTTAAAAAGACGTTGATGTGGCACGAACAATGTCAACAATGCTAACATGTCAACTAATATCGTTTATTTCATACTTACGTTACAAACTGATATTGACATGGAATTTTGTAATAATCAAAAATAAGAAAAAACTACATTCGATGAAATAAAAAGGCTGACCTAAACTTTTTAAATGATTAACAAAACGCACAAATTTCGGCCTTTCTTTTTAAATTTTTCTTATTAAAAATTTTATGTTAGTGTAAGTTTAACACGTAAGCATAAAATTAATTGTATTGACTGACACATCGGCATAAAATTAATTGTATTGATTGACACGCTAGCATTATTAATATTGTTTGTGTCATGTCAACATTCACTTGAAAATGTTGAGAATAATGTTGTAGGTAAAGGAAAATGTAAGGACCTGGAATGTGCATAGACCTAAAATAAAACTAGAGAAAAGTGTAGGGACTAAAAGTAATGATTTCCCTTTAAAATATTATCATTTCAAGCCTAAGTTACATTCTAGTACTTTTCTCTATCTTGATTGCAATTGTTTAGGTTAAAATATGAGACATCGCTCAGATAGGTCATAGGACTAGTTGGGTTGAGTAACTAAAGAGTCAAGCCTAATATGAACAAAAAGACCGGCCTCAAAGCTCAATAAAAGCCATGATAAAATAAATATGTCAAAATCCCGCCAGTTATGGACTGCTGGCACAAGAAGACACGATCTTAAGTAATTCTGAAATTCGCAAACATCATGCCCAAGTATCTCGGTGAGACAGGTTGATTATCAAAAATAGAAAACACAAAATAAAGACTGTGCCATGAGTTTCACAAGATCCTTGATTCCTTGGCAAAACGTGCTAGGTCTTAAGGGAGAGGCTACCACTACTCTGATATATAAATAAAAGACGAAGACACAGAAGAAAGGCAGTCAACACTCAATTAAAAACTTGCATTTTTATACCTTTTAGCCTTTAGTTTTATCAATTAATTTTACTTTCAATTTAGACTTATAACTCCTCGCATTTTAATAAAAATCAAACACTTATTCTACTAAAGTCTTGTGTATCTTTTACATTCAATTGAACTGTGGTAAGGGAGCTCGGGACCCTTTTGTTATCAATTGAGACTCAGTATCTCTGGCACGCCTAGTATTCATTGTTCACCATGAACAATTTTTGGCATGCCTGGTGGGACATATGTAACAAAGATGACAAGGATGAGAAAGATAAAAGGACTAATAAAATAGGTTCCAGTTCTCACGAACCAAAAAGGACCTTTGCACACGCAGGTTCAAAACACTTAGTGCTTGATGTTGAAGCAGCTGAGAGCATCGTGAGCACATAGTTTTAATGTAACAGGTAGCAGCAGCACAAGTGGTGGTTCAACACTAGGAAGTGGATAAGCTAACCCATTAATCATATCTAATAGTCCTGTGGCAGAAGTGCTGCGGGAAATTCAAGACCAGATGGATAAGCAGTTAGAAGAGAACCAAAGATTCTTTGTGACACCACGCCTGATTGCTTTTTATGAACAATTTTTGGCATGCCTAGTAGGACTTGCATAACAAAGATGGCAATGATGAGAAAAGACAAAAGGATTGATAAAACAAGTACTAGTTCTCACGAACTAAAAGAGACCTCTACACATGCAAGGTCAAAACACTTAGTACCTGATGTTAAAATAGCTAAGCATTGTGAGTATATAGTACTAATGTCAACAGGTAACAGTAGCATAAGCCCTAGTTTAAAGCTTGCAAGTGGACAAGCTAACCTACTGATTATATCTAACGATCCCATGATAGAAGTGTTGTGGGAAATTCAAGACTGGATGGATAAGCAACTGGAAGAAAACCAAAAATTCTTTGCACTATCCTTGGAAATGTCATAACGTAAGGAGAAAGACCAATAGTAGATCATGATATAGGCTCTACATGATGGCATGAAAAATATAGCCACATCATTAAAAAGCACTCCTTTAAAAGCAGGCTCAAATTTAAGGCCGCATAGAGGACAACAAACAAGAATCAATATAGATGTTGGCCTTCGGGGTCACCCACTTGTAAGGGACATCCTTAACTCTTAATTTTTTGCTGACACTAATCCTTTAAGTAATTCTTTGTATTATTTACAAAAGCCTGACATGAACGGCTCGGGGGGCATGGCAATGGTCCCAGAGTGTCATAACGAGTTTTAAAACCAACTGGTGAACATGAAGGCCTTGAGGGATGCTATCTAAGATATATACGGACTGGGGCTGAGGCCAATTGGCCGCCTTACCTTCTCAAAGTCATATTTGGAGTACATAGATAGAGACAATCCATACCCTTGAGGATATAGGATCCTTGACTTCATACTGTTTTCAGGGGACGAAATGCAATCGACGCTGGAGCACATTAGGAGATTCACAATCCAATATGGGGAGATTGCCAACTAGAGAAACTTTGCCAACTTAAAACTGAGATTGTTCTCGAACATTCTTACAGGCCTGGCATTCACATGGTACACTTCTCTACCCCGTAACTCAATCATCAGCTAGATGGAAATGGAGCATAAGTTCCATATCTAGTTTTACAAGATAGAGTCGGAGGTTAACATAGCAGAAATCTACAAACTCACCCAACGAGCTAGAGAGACGACAGACTAATACTTGGTGAGGTTCAAATGACTGAGGAGTAGGTGCTATGTGCTGCTTTCAGAAACTGAATTTGTCAAGTTGGCACCATCAGGACTGGATATAAAGCTTTGAAAGAAATTTTAGGGGATGGAATTTTGATATTTTTATGAGCTCACGGCCAAAGTATAGGGATGTGAGGAATTGCTCAAGGAAGAGGACCATCGCCGACGGACTACGACCGGAACCTATTTCAGGGACCTTGACGTGGCGGCGGTAGAAGTAAAAAATATTGGGAACTACACATGCTCGGTTTTGATAAAGAAGGCCAGAGATATTCCCAAAAGGCCAATGCCATTGAGTACACCTTTGACACCATCAAAATAGAGGAGATCTTCAATTTTCTCCTAAAATGAATGCCATTCAATATTTATTGTTCACCATGAACAACAATATTCCCTATTTTTGTTTATAAAATTAGTTTCAACATGTTTTATCAAAACAAAAACAAATATTAAAAATAATCAACTCTATCTAAAAATTTAATAAGTTATCAACGTTGCTTTAACAACACATTTCTCTCTCTAACATTTAATTGAAGGTCAATGAAAAATTTGTGAAATAATTTATTGATGTAAATTATAAATATGACAAAAAAAATCCCCTCGCTACTCTATAAATAACCAGAGGAGTATAAGTCATTGTTAATTAGTTCACTAAAATATTGATTTTCTAAATTTTTATATCCTTTCAATCATACTTATGAGTAAAATAAATATAAAATTTGACTTATTCAAAACAGTTTTATTAATTATTTGAGCATAGGTATAGTAAAGTAGGAATATAATTAGAAAAATAGATAAAATTTATGCAATAACCCATAATTAGAATATGTAATGGAGAGGTGTGAGGAATGCATTATGTCATGTCATGTGCAATTATCAAGGGTGAAAATTGACTAGATTGAGTTATACTTTAGTTAGGTAGATTTGAACTTATGTGGTACTCCCTCTGGTCCCATTTTTAGAAGTCACAATTTAGAAGGTTTATTTAATCTTATTTATAAGTCATGGTGTAGTTTTTTTTTAGTAAAGATATTTCTAAACTTACCTTTCATGAGGAAAAAAGTAATATGACATTATTTTTTGAATTTGTTATATACAAGTATATTTAAAATTCTAAACACTTTAATTCCTTATACTTTTTTTTGCATTGACATTTATGAGATTTGTAGAAATGATTTATAAAGAAGATCGAAGGACTAAGTCAGAAATCCATGCCTCACCAAGAATCTATATAAGGCTTTTTTTACTGTTCATGTTTAAACCTACCTAAAGCCCAACCTAATCTGGTAACTTATTTAAAAAGCTACTTGAAAAAAAGTCTTTTTAAATAGGCTTATATAATCTCTCACACACACACGCACACGCACACTAATTCTAATACAAAGCAACAATAAAATAATAACATTAAAATTAATATATAAGTCTAATTTAATTAAAAATAAAAAGAATGGATTGATTAAAAATTAAATAGTAAAATTAATATATGTGTTACATAATAATAATAATAATAATAATAATAATAATAATAATAATAATAATAATAATAATAATAATAATAATATAGTATGTGAATAGAGCCACCTGTTAATTTCATAGGTTAGAATAATAATATAGTATGTCAATATGAAATTATATAGTATGTTAATAGAACCACCTATTAAATTCATAGGTTAGACCTTGAATCTGGCCATAGACAACCGTATCACATCGCTGGATACCACCCAATTCTCTATGCTATCCAGATGAATCTCCTATTCATCGGTGAAAATACATGGGCTAGTGTCCCCAAGGGTCTATTAAATGGCTCTCCCTTGGTCTCCTGCATAGAGCACTAGCCTAATGTTCATCAATTGATACTATGACATTTCCATAAGCTTAACATCCTTACCTTGGACCAACACTCGAAGGCGTTGGCAAACATTTTCTTCACGTCATTTGTCAGGCCATTATAGGCAAGAACATTATGGCATTCATTTTGAATATTGTGGATATCTTTCCTTTTGCTTCTCACTGGATTTGATTAGCAAAGGAAAGTAGACGCCGATGCAAGGAATATATTCAAAAAACCTAAGGTCCTGTTTGATACGCAAGCCTCAATTTAGAGGGATTGGTATAGGAATTAGTATTGGGATTGGTAATAAGATTGATATTGAGAATGAGACTTTAAAATTATGTTTGGTATGAGATAATACTTACAGAGAATAATTATTTTTATTTATTTTACAATTAAATATAAAGTATGAAAAGACCATACTACCCTTAAAATTTTTTAAAAAAATTGAACACCTTCTCTTGAAAACCATGGCAGCCCAAGGTTCATCTTCTCCATACCTTCGCGATTGTGCATCTTTTAAGAGAGGGAGATTGAGTTTGGACCTGTGAGCGAAGGAGATGAAAGTGGTTGCGAGATTTAAGTGACAGTGGCTGCACGATTAGAGAAGGAGAAGGCAGCGACGATTGCGAGATCTAGAGGTCAGCGGTTGCAAGATCGGAGAAGGAGAAGGCAATGACGGTTGCAAGATCTAGAGGCTGTGGTTGCAAGATCAAAGAAGGAGAATGTGTTCGTGTTGGCTAATGGCTACGAGATTGGAGAAGATGAAAGTGGAAGGCTAGACATGTACAAAAAATGGAGGGTATTTTGGTTTAAGAAAATTTAATCCCAAGCTTAAATTTTAATACCACCTTTCCTATAAGTTTCATTAATCCCATCTATATAGGTTTCATCATGCCCAAAAATTAAAGAATCCATCATATCAAACATTGTATTTGTGGGTTTTTTAAATATTAATCTCAATCTCAACCTCTCAATGCCTCATATCAAATATAGGCGGAGGGTATAACTTAATAAGCAAAAGCAATATTGTTTTTACATGCCACTGGCAAAATTACTCAAGTCTCAAAAGAATTGGTTGTTTATGAATTTCATGTAGATATGTGTAAATAAGTTTATTGTACGAAACCTGTATGGAATTTTCCTGTGCATAAAGGGAACAGTAAGTCGGTGCAGAGTACACAGTTCGGGCTGTTCGGCTATCCCCGCCCCCTTGCTTCATGCTTTCCCGTTCCGTTTCTCTTTGTTTTGGCGCCTGAATCCGTTGTATCGTCGGGGGCTTGGACAGGAAAATGGGATCGCTGGAGACACCGACGAGGGTAGAGAACGGTTCTGCCCCGTTAACCGGCACCGGTAAAATTTCTTCTGGCGATGGGGAGCCTGTCGAAACTGCGTCGGAGAAGCCGCTGGAATCCGATACTCCAAAGAAGGGGAGAGCGTCTTTGCCTCCCCTGGATGTTGGCACTCGGGTCATGTGTCGTAAGAGGGACGGCAAGCTTCAACCCGTGAAAGTCATCGAGCGCCGCAAGATGAGTAAAGTGCGTCCCATCGATTACGACTGTTACGTCCATTATACCGAGTGTAAGATCTCCTTCGTTGTTTCTCTGGCCTTGCGCAATTTTAGTGGTTAGGGTTTTGGGTATGAAGTGGCTGAGAGACGCATTTGATCTTAGCTGAGTGGTTATGAATCTGGAATTTTATGTATCTGCGTTTCTTTCTTCTGGATGAAACGTCGAATTGTCGTTGTGACTGTGATGCTTGGCACATGTTTGATTCATTTCGCCATAGGTTTTACTAAAAGAAACACTCGATCCATGCAATTCTTGTCAGCTTTTTGTCCCAATTCTTGCCATGCCATTTTTCTTAACGTGGGCAGGAACTCTAACTAGTGGTAGCAGTTGGGTAGTCTCATACGCGTATGTTGTTCTTTCTGGCAGTCAATAGGAGGCTTGATGAGTGGGTGAAGGTTGAACAACTTGATCTTGATTTGGTGGAGGCTGTTGACGAAAAGTTGAAGGTAATGATTTATGTTCTCCAAATTGTTTTAAAAGCGTCTGTGCCTTGGAAGCTTTTGTGGAAAAACGGATTTGTAGGTTTCATTGAAACGATCGATGATATTGTTTTTTTTAAAAAATTATTCTGCTCTCGTTCGTTTATCTAAAGCAGTGGAAGATAGCGACTTATATAATTTCCCATCGACTGGGCTTTGCTTCTCTCTGGAAAATAAATGGAAGAGAGAGTAAATTGTAAGAAGTAAAACATGTGTGTGTTTTGTCAATAATTTTCTTCCCTTGTCTTTCCGTTTTCCATTTTCCAAACAAAGAGGTACTCTTATTGTGTATGAATGACTCTCTATTTTGCATGTGTGGTTTTTTCAGGTGACAAGCTTGGAGATGACACGCCAGCAAAAGAGGAGGATTGATGAGACACACCGTGGAGGTATTCAACATGTATTTTTTGACAAGAATCAAGTAATGCGCAAGCTCAAAATAACACCTTCTAGGCTTAAAGATTTGTGATCTTTCTATTTACATAGTTACTTGAAGAATAGGACCTATTTGAACTTCAAGTCATTGGCATGAAAATTGGGATAGTAATCAGATTAAAAATTGCTGTAAACGTTTTACTGTTTTGTGGCTATTTAGTATTTAAAGTTTGTGTGGAAAGGAGGGAGTGGGGGGATTAAATGAATCCCAAAGTCACATGAAATTGAAATACGTAATTTTGATGAGTGCCATATAATCTTGTGATAGCAAGTTAGAGTGACAGAGTTCTGCTTTTTATACGCAAGTCTGACCACTCTTGAATGTGAAAGCAATGGATTTTATTATTAGTCAAGCTGTTTCTGCCTTGCTGCAGCTGTTTCCTCCATGTGTATGAATGTGTCTTTTGCTCCATATAGGGCCATGAGAAGCTTGATGCTTTGCTGCCAGCTTACGAGAACATGAGGAATTTACAAAAGTGAAGAATATTGCTGCCATTAAATTAGGAAGATATGAGATTGAGACACGGTACTTCCCCCTTCCCATCAGAATACAATGACTGTTTGAGGCTGTACTATTATGAGTTTTCCCTCGATTTTATGAAGTGCAAAGAACAGCTTCAGAGGCATATGGTGAGCTGTGCCTCAAATATTGCTTCCTTTCCCCATTATGATTTGAGTGATTATTTATTGCTTTGAACAGGAATGCATATCTTTCAGTCTTCGTATCCCTTGTTCTGCTCCTCTTCAGGCATTGCTGTTATTGTTTGCTTTTTCTATTTTCTAGTTCTCTTTAATTGCTATTCTGTGGTATTGTCATGTTAAGTGGAATATAAACTTGCATTAAATCTTATTTTACCCTGAGATCCTAATCATGTTAATGTTTAGACTTGCGGCTTTTTTGCTTGTTTTAAATGTTGTCTGTACAAATTTTTGTCTGTATTAATACTTCATGCCATTTTAATGTTTGCATAATGGTATGATCCTGTTATGATATGCAAACCTTTTTCTCTTGAATCTACCCCTCCCCAAATGTGGGATTTCTTTTCTTTTCTTTGCAGGATGAAGTAAGTGCGTAAAAGGGTATTTGAAACTTTTTCTTAAAAAAAATCTTCCAATTCGCTCTAATTATTCTTTCCATTCACCAACATGACCTAATCTTTGATGACCATTAGCTGTATCTTGAATGATCATAGCTCTGAATTAAGTATTACTGTGGCTTGTGACTTTTTGATTATTTGTCTGTCACAAGTTAATTCATATGAATTCCATGAAAATCATCTTTATCTGTTGACTGCATGAATTCTTGAATTACCGGTACAATTGGAAGCTGATTTAAGGATACCAATCATATGAATTTTCCATCAAATACGCTGAAGGAAGTTGACCTGAACTTGAATAAACTGTTGTGTGGTTGAAAGGTCTACACTCCCAGGTGTTCTTATTTTTTAAAAAAGAAATTAGCAGAGTGAGCTGAACTTTTAATTGACCTTCAGAGCTATGGTAAATGTTCTTATGTTGCTTTATTGGAATTGAAGAATTCATAATTTTAACTTGCCCTCCTTCTTTCTCGAAAAGGTTGTCAGTTTATATAATCAATGTAATGATGTGAACTATCTTCAATGGCCACCTTACCTTACTTCCAACATCTCTTTTTATCATGCAGAGGCAAATGTGATCTCAAGCATCCTCCTGGTGATGAGATATACAGAAGTGGTACATTGTCAATGTTTGAGGTACATTTTTCTCATTGCTCTAGTTATTAATGTTGATGGGCATCTTATAATTAGTATCAAAGCTAATCTATGTTTTTGTTTTTCTTGTTTTTCGCACCCCATTACCTTACCTTCATTTTATGGAGTCTGGAATGAGTTATTACTTCACCTGTCTTCAATTATCTAGAATAAGTTAAGTGGGTGCAAGAGCATTTAAATGCTGTAAATGGTGATTGAGGAGCGTGATCCTGCTGTCCAATATTGGATTTCAAGTATCTTATTGTTGCAACCTTGGATTCTTTATTTTTTTGGAAGTTCTGGTCACAGCTGAAATTCCTACGCATAACAAGGAGGTTTGCCTGATTTTCATCTTGTTTGATGCTTGATAACATCAATTTAATTTGGATAGAGGCCTATGGCGCTTTAAAGAACCAGGTTATTTCCATTTTATAGATATTTGATTCAATTTTCTAAGCTCAAATGTGCATGAACAAGATAATATTGCATTTTATAGGTATATATTGTTGCCAAGGAAACGTTTCTATCAGAGTGTGCCTTATATATTACATTCATATAATTATATGCTCTTCAAATTCACCAATTGTTTGAAAGTTTCGGTCAAAATTGGATATTAATCTGAAACCTTTGTAATTGTTTACATTTGGAAATTGGTGATGCAGTTCTATTGGGCTTTGATAACATTTTTTATTTTTTGCCTCTTTTTTGTTATACCAGGAGTGTATTGAGAGAACAAATAATCAAAGGGTAATAATGGGCCCCTGTTCTTCACACACCTGCAGCAGGTGTAGAAAGTGAGCTAGGACTGAAGGTAATAGTGAGGAGATGGGAGAGGCAGTTACTGAAGAAATGGGAGAATAGGGTGGTTAACTCTAAAGCCATCTTAGTAGCATTACCTCTAGTTTCTAGCAGTTATTATGATTGTTAATGAGTAGTTATTATTGTGCTATAATCTAGGGCAGTTCTTAACGATTGCATTGTATATATTTCCTTTGTTAAAAAATGTAAGGTATTTTTAATCAAATTACACATTCCATTGAGTCAGTTAATTTTCGTTAATCTAATATCATCTTTTCATATTTGCCTTCATTTAATATGGTATATCACTTAAATAAAGGGTTGAGTGATATATTTATTAAGGGTATTTTTGAGGAAAAAAACTCATTAATTATTACACATAGTAAAACTAAAAATGCCTTGTACTTTTAACATTTAATGTAAAAAAAAATGTCTTATATTTTTTTAATGGGGGAATATCTTTAAGAAATAGTTGCAGTAGGATTCAGACTCGTGATTTACCTTTGGTTTGGGAGATTCTCCTGGTCTGGTGAAGTAATTGGTGTTTTCAGATTGCCTGACATTATTTTCTTCAATAGAATTTTTCTCTACTTTCCATCTTAAACCCCAGACCCTATCGTACAAGGGGACGAAATAATCACCCTTGGATCACAAACCAATGATGTAAGTTAAATGCAGGAGTCACCTTAATTGTGTAATTAATGCCATTCTTGGTTCTCGCATTAATTATTCTTGTATTTATTTCAAATCTAAGGGCGACCACTTTTCTTACCTCCTCTCACGTCAGATAACTCCCTTGATCTCTCTCTCTCTCTCTCTGCGTGCGCATGCATGAATGTATGTATGATTATTTGTATTTTATGATTGTCTTTAATTATTATGCTATATCCGCAAACAGGTTGATGGCAAAAAGAACAAGGTTTATGGGCAGAATCTCTGTTATTGGCCAAGTTGTTTCTTGATCACAAGACTCTGATGATGTTGACCTGTTCTGTTCTATGTTCTGTGTGAATGTGATGATCGATCATCGAGGATGCCACATGGTTGGCTATTTCTCCAAGTTAAATGTATCCTTGTTGTCATTGTTGTAGTTTGGCATGAGAAGCTTCAAATTCTTATATCATGCAATTTTGCACTCTGTTATTTAAAAAATGCCAATCCTATTTATCGGCACACTGTATGCAATCAGCAAGGTCAACATATTCTGCAGATTGCTTCATTCGTGTAATTATTTTAATTAATTGTAAACTTCCACTTTTGAAGGAGCCAATTTTATTGTTTTCAGACATTAGTTCTGTGACTGGAAGCATGAATGTGATCTAGCTTAAATATTTGCAATCTTCTCTATTATCTCCCGTGTCCTTTTATTGTTTGTCTTTTTCATTTTGAATTTATGAACAATTTTATTGATTTGAACTTTTGATTTTAAAGGAAAAACATTTAGAAGAATCTTATGATCTGGCATGTATTCTCACCCTTCACCCTAACAAAGGAAAGGATGTGACAAATTTTTAATTGCTTTGTGTAAGCTTGTTAAGGTTAGATGATGGATTCCGTGCCTTGTTTAAATGTTTTAAACAACTCCGCCTATGTTTTATAGTTGCTCTTAAGCTCAGATAAAGGAGGAGGATTGTGTTAGGCTCTCAACAGCCAACGTAAAATTTGGTTGAATCTCACATAGATTTAGACAGTAGAGGTTTTTTTATGTTATGTTAGGTTGTTGCCTGTAAGTAACGTGCGTGTAGGCTCAAGTTGCAGCGATAAGTGAGTTAGGGTAGCTGCATCGA